TCTATGGAACCATGTGGTCAGGGTGCTGTATGTTCCTGAGATTGAAGTCCTGGTGGTGTCGATGTCGTCGTGTAGCATTTCGAACACTGCTTTAAGTTAGCTGCGCGTTGAAGCAATACTGGATCACTCCTGCGTTGAGTTTTCCTCTTGTATTCCTGTGGCATTGTGTTCAAGAAAAAAAATAAGGCAAACATTAATGTCATTGGAACTAGGCGAGTTGAGCCACCCACTGGAGGAGAGTTGAGCCACAGCTTATGATCAGCGGCTCAAGTCTCCGTACGTCGGCCATTTTGACATGTGACGTGATCGCTGTTGGATATATTTCAATCCAAATCACCATAATGAATCTACAATGTAGGGGCTACATAATGCAAATATTGCTCAAACAGAAAGTGCTATCATGTGAGAAATAAAGACGGTGTTACCTGTAACTCAGAAATCCATTTTTAGTACAATTTCGATTTTTTTCTGTCCACCACGTCTCTATGGAGCTGGCATGCATCTGCCTGCTCTAATTAATATGAAAATTATGTTACAGACTACAAAGCCAACAGAAGGCTTTTGGGCTTTATCCGATCTTGTGCAAGTGGGGATTTCAGGGGTGGCTCAATTCTCCTTGTGGCTCAATTCTTTTTGATCTCCCCTTTTCCTGTACTCTTTACTTGAAATTTAACCTTAGTGTATTTTGAGCTCGTCCCCACCAGATCCTAGTTCCCTCACTCTTAAAGTGATGTGGCCCAAGCCCCCGGAGGTCATTCTGAGCAGACAGGCAGCCTAAGTGAGAAAAAGTCAGACCCACTTGATCCCACATACGTGTGATCCTTGTATATTCCCCTGCCTTTGTGGTTTTGTCTGCTGTGGACCCTTTCGGTGAGTTTTCTTTTCAATTTGTTTGCTACAAAACCTTTGACAACACTTTTGATATTGTACAGATTTTACTTGTTCATTTGATTACCGGTAGTTTCCAAGAGCCGATGTTTGTCTTTGTATGCAGTTTCCATGTCTCTTGGCCATTAAAAGTTTTGGTGTCTGTTTAGTCTTGAATACGGTTTGAAGTATTTTTCAACAGTTATAATAATCCACCTTAAAACCATCTCAGATTGACAAGTTGTGCCCATATTTGCTTTGGCCCTGTAAACTAATTATGGGTAGGGAAAGATCTTGTTGATTCCAGTTTTACTGTGCATGTACATGTATTCCTTACGTAAACTTGAGGGAGGTATTTTTTACCTGCCCTACAGGAAGTGTCATTTTTCAGCAGTACGGCAGTGCTTATAGATTTTAGGGATCCCTACACTGTAGTAGTCTAGTGCCACAGCACTGGTGAAGCTGTGTGGACCCAGTCATTCAGTTATGCAAATACACACTTGTGTGCGTGTATCTGTGTATTCCTAGCCTTGTGGTCGCCTGGTTAGTGTTTTTTATCTGTATTACTTGGCTTAGTAGTAGTGTATCAGGTGTCTTTTCTTTTTGTTACAACATGTAGAGGACTGTATTCCTAGCGGTATTTTTGATGACATGTACTTATCACGTATTCTTTTTGTTCTGTATAACCTAGATATTGGTCTGAATTGTTAAAGATTTTGATCCCACACTGGCCTTGTCCCCACGAATCCTGTTCCGGTTCTGTTGACATTTTAATCTACTTTTTGTTTCTTTTGCCATTAGTTTTAATTCTCTTTAAATTGCTTCAACGTCAAGTTCGAATTAAACATTTTCG